TTAAGGGAAGCAAACAACAATCAACAACAAATCCCAGAGAAAATAGACATAGCTCAGAAAGGAAAAGGTAACTTTAAAAACTACAAAATTTTAAACCCTAGCATCCTAAGAGAAATCCAAAAGAGACTGCATCTATTAAACAAGAGTAAGAATCTATAAAAAGGAACAAGTAAAGAACAGGCACCACAGAAATTAAAAATACAACTGCAGAAATTAAAATGTTAATTAAAGTGTTGGCAGACAGAGTTGAGAAGTCTCCGGAAAGTAGGAGAGATTTCAAAGACAAGACACAAGAGAAGATAAAAATAAATAAATAAATAAATAAAGGATTAAAAGAGAGGCAAAAAATTATCAAGGAAGTAGTGTATGATAATTTCACAAAACTTAAGGACATAAGTCTCCAGAGGACCCTGGATGTTTCCAGCTGTGTGAATGAAATAAAGAGGAATCCATAGCACATCATAGTGACAGCAGAACACAAAAGACATAGAGAAGATCTTAAAGGCTCCCAAAAAGAAAAAAATGAGTCAGCTGTAAATAATGACAATGAATTCTTACCAGTAATCTTGGTGCAAAAGACAATTTGAATGTAGAATTCTATTCCCAGCTAAACTAGCAACCAAATATGAGGGGAGAATAAAGAAAATTTCGGGTAAGGACTCAGAAAAAAGGATACCCTCTGTATCCCTTCTCCTAGGAAGTTATAAGATGGGAGAGCACACTAGAAAGAGGAAGACATGGAATTTAGGAGATAGTGGATGCAACCAATGAAAGCCATGGAGAGGAGTTCCCAGAGGCAGCTGGGTAGAGGTCCAGGGCGGTTTCCACAAATTCTAGAAAGATGAAGGAAGTGTTAGAAAGGAAATGTAGTTACAATGTACTACTTGACGCTATAGTAAACAATATTTCCAAAGAAACAATAACATCAACTCCTTTTTATTCATTTTCAACAACCACCAAAATGTTAATTACAGTAAGAGAACATAAAAGTCATCAACCTCGACATAGTCCTTAAGGGAAATTTACACCCCGAAAAAGAAGAAAGAGTGAAAATTAATGGGCTAAGTATCTGACCTAAGAAGTCATGCAGAGAAAAACAACTAAATAGACTCAAAGGAAATGGAGGAAGGAAATAATAAAGCCAACAATGAATGAAATAGAAAACAATGATACAGTAGAGAGGAGCAGCAAAACCCCAAGTCTGTTCTCAGTAAAAGTAGGAAAATAGAAAAAACACTCGTGAAGTTTATCTAGAAAAAAAAGAAGATGGATATAAACAATATTAAGAATGAATAAAAGGGGGACGACAACAACAGATACAACAGAGAAATTAAATATTATGGAAAATGTTAGGCTAACAAATTTGAAAATGTGGGGACAAAATGAACAATTTCCTTAAAAATATATAATGTGGGCTTCCCTGGTGGCGCAGTGGTTGAGAGTCCGCCTGCCGATGCAGGGGACACGGGTTCGTGCCCCGGTCTGGGAGGATCCCACATGCCGCGGAGCGGCTGGGCCCGTGGACCATGGCCGCTGAGCCTGCACGTCCGGAGCCTGTGCTCCGCAGCGGGAGAGGCCACGACAGTGAGAGGCCCGCGTACCACAAAAAACAAAAAACAAAAAATATATAATGTAACAAAAGTGAGGAAACAGAAAATTGAACAGATTTATGACCATTGAAATTAAATCAGTAGTTAAGAGTAAACCACACAAACTTACACACCCATGGTAGCCAGGCTCCAACATGGCCCCGGTGATCCCTGCCTCCGGGTGTTCTCACTCCAGCTGGTGCCCTGACGAGGCTGACCTGTGTATACCAGTAGGTTACTGAGGAACTGACGAAATGTGGCTAGCAAGGCTAAGCTATAAAAGACACTGGCTTCTGTCTTGATATCTCTCTCTTGAACACTCGATCTGGGGGATGCCAGTTGCCTATCAGAATTCCAGCAGGGTTTCTCAGTGGAGCTTGACATGCTGACCTTAAAATATGCATAGAACTGCCAAGGGCCCAGAATAGATGAAACTTTTCTGATGATAAACAAGGTGGGGTGGTGATTCTACCGAGAATTATCAGAGCTACAACAATGAAGACAGTGAGTATAAGACTAGATACATAGGCCAATGGTTTAGGCTACAGGACCCAGAAACCAACCCATGCATATAAGGAAACTTGATAAATGACAGCTTTGCAAACCAGCGGGGAGAGAATGGACTGTGTGATTAATGGTCTGGGACAATAGGATGTATGTTTGCAAAAAATACAGTCGGCTCCCTACATCTCACCGTATACTAAAATAAATGCCATGTGGACTAAAGATCTAAATGCAAAAAACTTTACAACTTTTAGAAGAAAATAAAGGAGAGTAGTTTCATGGCTTGAGAGTAGGAAGATTTTCTTTTTTTATATATAAATTGATCCATTTTATTTACTTATTTTTGGCTGCGTTGGGTCTTCATTGCCGCGCACAGGCTTTCTCTAGCTGCAGCGAGCGGGGGCTACTCTTCCTTGAGGTGTGAAGTCTTCTCAATTCTCATTGCGGTGGCTTCTCTTGTTGTGGAGCATGGGCTCTAGTCTTGCAGGCTTCAGTAGTTGTGGCTCGCAGGCTCTAGAGTGCAGGCTCAGTAGCTCTGGCACCCGGGCTTAGTTGCTCCTTGGCACGTGGGATCTTTCCAGACAAGGGCTCGAACCCAGGTCCCCTGCACTAGCAGCAGGATTCTTAACCACTGCGCCACCAGGGAAGCCCCAGGAAGATTTTCTTAAGACAAGAGTTTTTTTTCAAAAGCCCAAACTATAAAGTTTTATTGTTAAACTTGACTAAATTAAAATTAAAGTTTCTGCTCCCCAAAAGATAGTATGAATAAAGTGAAATAAGAACAGAAAAAAGGTACCTGCAAAGCATATAATTTACAGAAGATTAGTGTCCAGGATATGTAAAGAGTTCCTAGAAATCAATACCAAAAAGACAAAATGCCCCATTATAAGTTGGTTGACAGATATGCACAGATGATTCTAAGAATAAATCTGAACGTTCAATAGACATTTAAAAATAAGTTCAACTTCACTAGTTATCAGGGAAATATAAGATAAAACAACAATGAAATACAATTTCCTACCTATCAGATTGACAAAAATTAAAAATTCTGACATTATCAAGAGGTGGTAAGGATGTAGAGTAATGGGCCATAAAAAGAAAAGAAAAAACACTGGGAGTAAATGTCCATCAACAAGAGAACAGATAAACCGCGGTATATTCATTCAATAGAATATTATGTAGCTACTAAAATGAATGAACTAGAGCCAAATGCTTCATGTGGCTAAATCTCAAAAATGTGTTAGCCCAGAAAGAAGAGTTGAAGAATACTATATGCAGAGGACGAGTTTTATGCTGTAGGTAGTTTCAAAATTTGCAGCAATGTAAATAAATAAGCCAAGGAGGCACATAAACACACACACAACCCCTAGAGCGAAGGGTGAGCAGAACCAGTTGGAGTGGGAGGGTGCCTAGTGCCAGAGAGCCTGAGACGGGGGCCCACAGAAGGGAATGCTTTAATCTGCTAGGACAGTCAGGGAAGGCTTCACCAGGAGGAGACATGTGAACTTGGCCTTGAAAGAGAAGTGCACCTACAATGCCAGGAGCCCAGCTCTTTCTGCTCCACATCCAGTGGTTGTTGGAGGACCTATTTCTCTGGACCCTGAGCACAGAGCCTGACCACACAGGGCTGAGACCACCCACAAGTGAAGACTCACTTGAATGTTATCTCCAGTTTGAGGATGTTTGCTCTCATCTTTATATACATGGTGGGCGGGGGAACAGCTCAAAGCTCTTCTTTTGAAATGATGACAGCAGTAATAATTGCTTGCCCTTTAATAATAAGAGCTACCATTTACTGAGCATTTACTGTATGCAGGGCACTGGGCTGTCATCAGATGCTTTATTGCCTTTAGTTCTCACAACAACTCTAAGAGGCACGTACTATTTATACCTTTGAGGAAACCAAGGCTTTGAGAATTCAGGTGCCTTGCCCACAGTCCTATGGAGTTAGTTAGGTGGGATCTGAACCCTTCCGACTCTCCAGCCTGCGTTTTAACCACTGCTTCTCACAAGCAGACACCCAATGAAAGCAACAAGAGTTTTACTGCCTTCAATTGTAATAAATGAGAACGTGATCCGAGCATAATAAACTAAAACCCAAGCTTATCATTACATTCATGAACACCTGTCACTGTCAGGTGCTCCGTAAATGCTTGTGAAATGAGGTAGCGTTTAGTTTCAGGAAATGAAAACCAACCCAGTGTCAAAATGACAGTCTTCACCCCTGTAGGAAGCAAGTAGTAACTCACAGGCCCCGTGAACAAGCAGAGCAGCGCTTCACGGGCACGCATCCGTGGACACTGGGCGCTCCCAGCCCCACACTTAGACGTCCCGAACGTCCCCGCTCCTCCCCTAACCCCCGTCCCACCTGCTCTCATGCCCGCCCCTCCCCCGCTCCTCGGCGCTCAGCCCGGACCCTGCTGTAAGGGCTCTGCTCTGGGCACCGAGCTCCCAGAGGGAAGGCTGGGTTTTCTCTCTCTCAGCCTATCACACAGCGGACCTGCTCTGAAAATATACTTTTGTGTGGATGGAGTTCAGCGCTCTCCCCAAAACCCCACAGGTCAGACATACATAAAGTGAGAAGAAACAGGACAGAAAAAGAACTGGAAAAATTCTTTTTTTTTGTTTTGAAAAGTTCTTTTAAGATAAATTTGTTTATTTATTTATTTTTGGCTGTGTTTGGTCTTCGTTGCTGCGTGCGGGTTTTCTCTAGTTGTGGCGAGCGGGGGCTACTCGTCCTTGCCGTGCGCAGGCTTCTCATTGTGGTGGCTTCTCTTGTTGTGGAGCACAGGCTCTAGGCGCGCGGGCTACAGTAGTTGTGGCTCACGGGCTCTAGAGCGCAGGCTCAGTAGTTGTGGCTCACGGGCTTAGGTGCTCCGCGGCATGTGGGATCTTCCCAGACCAGGGCTTGAACCCGTGTACCCTGCATTGGCAGGCGGATTCTTAACCACCGCGCCACCAGGGAAGTCCAAGAACTGGAAGAATTCTGCTTTTCAAATAAAAGTAGATAAAGCGAGCACTCCATCTTCTCCGCTAGGAAAAGCCATTATCACTGGATTCCCCTGTATTCATGTTATTCATTCATTTCACAAACATTTACCAGACACCTGCCAGGTGCGGGAGGCGGGCCCTGGACCGAAGGTGGCTGCCTCCTTTGCACCTTCCCTCCGAAAACAGTGGAGAGAACCCTCCTTCCTGCTGGCACGGCGGGCACTGGGAGGGGCCTTCACTGCCCGCGCGCCCTGATGCACACGACGGAGGAGACAAAGGCACAGCAGGCAGCCACAATTTCTGACTGTAAATGGTATGGGGCGGGGGCGGGAATGGGAGGTGAGACTGAAAGGGGAAGAGAGAGGGAGAGAGGGAGAGAGGGAGGGAGGGAGATGGGAGAAGAGGAAGAGGAAGCAGGAGGAAGACAGCGGCAGCCCGTCGGGACTCTCTCCAGAGCCACGTCTGACAATACCCTGGTCACGTTTTAATTAATTGCAAGGTTTTACCATTGCCTCAAACCAGAGCTCTCTCTCTGATTAATTTCCGAAAGAGCCTGCCGAGTCGAATCATCGCAAACACTATGATCCCGGTTATTATGGCCTGAGCAGCTAAAAGCAGAAAATAGAGACCCCAGAACAGGCTCTGGTCCTGACTTTTGCCTTCGGCCACCGGCCGGGCCCACGCCCAGGACTCGGAGCGCTTGGGTCCCAAGGAAGCGCGGGCAGGGGCGGCGGGCAGGGTGGGCTGCTGGGGGCCTTCGGAAGAGCCGAGGGCAAGGCGGCGGGAAGGCGTGCTCCCGGGGCGCGGGCAGCCGGGGTCGCTGAGGGGCAGGGCCCAGAGCGACAGGCCGGCGTGCGGCCCGGGGCCGTGACACAGCGGGGCCTCGGCTCGACCCACGAGGCCCGCGTGCCGCCGCAGCCACGCCAGGAATGGCCCCAGGCCACAGTCGCAGCGCCAGGGATTGTGCCCCAGCAGGACCTTCGCCAGCCGGGGCAGAGCCTCAAAAACGTCTCCGGGCAGTGTCTCCAGCTGGTTGTGGTCAAGCTGGACCTCCTCCAGGCTGCTGAGGTTGCGGAAGAGCTCGCGGGGCAGGGTCCGCAGCCGGTTGCGGCGCAGCGACAAGTGGCGCAGCCCGCCGAGGCCGCGGAGCAAGCCGGCGGGGAGGGAAGCCAGGCCGGTGGAGCGCAGGGCGAGCACCCGCAGCTCGCCGAGGCCCCGAAAGGCGTCCTCCGGGAGCGCGCTCAGTCGCGGGCTCAGCGTCACCCCCAGGACCCGCAGGCCGCTCAGGTTGCGAAAGGCGGCGGCAGGCAGGGTGCGCAGCTGGGTGGCGTTCAGCCACAGCTCCCGCAGGCCGCCCATCACCCCGAAGAGCACCTCGGGGAGTTCCTCCAGCGGGTTCTCGAACAGTGTCAGGTAGGTCAAATTGTGCGAATGAAGAAAGAGGGCAGAGGGCAGAAACTCGAGGCGGTTTCTGGAAAGAGTCAAAGAGCTCAGGCTTCGCAGACGGTCGAAGGCGCCAGGTGCGACGGAACGGATGTGATTTCTGTCGAGCTGCAGCTCCATCAGGGCGCGCAGGCTATCCAACAGCCCCGAATCCAGAGACACGAGCTGGTTCGAGTGGAGCAGAAGCTTCTCAAGCTTAACCTGGACCCCAAACAATCCCTCGGGCAGGTGGGTCAAATTATTTCCCGATAAATCCAACAATTTCAGGTTCCCCAGGTGTGTGAAGAGGCTGGCAGGGAGGAAAGCGAGCTGGTTTTGGTTCAAAAAGAGCTCCTGCAGGTTAACCAGTTTCTGAAACATGTTTTGGTCAAGGCTCTTTAGTTCATTGCCGTCCAGAAACAACTGTTCCAAGAGCACCAGCTTATCCAACAGCGCGCCTGGAAGATGAGTGATCTTGTTGTGCGATAACCTCAGGGTTTTAAGTTTTATCAGATCGTTGAAAGTGCCGGGAGCAATGGCCGAAACGTGGGTGTCGGACAGCATTAGGCGCTGCAGGACGGTCATGCCACTGAAGCTGCTGTTCAGCAAGGCGCCGGGGCCCATTCGGAAAAGCAGGATGTGCGTAAGGTTGGTGGGCAAGCCGAGCGCCGCGATGCGCGCCACGCTACCCTGCGAGCACTGCGCGGCGTCGCGGAAAATGCACCTGCAGGTGGGTGGGCAGGGGAAGGGCTGGGCGCGCAGGAGCCCGAGCGCGGCGCACAGCAGAGCGCTCCTCAGCATGTCTGGAAAGGCGACCGCGGCAGATCTGTGGGCAGCACACAAAGGACAAACGCTCGAATTTCAGTCTTGTAACCCTGCATGATCCTTTCGCCAGGATTATCACTGACTTTGAATGTTACCCAGGTACAAGTTAAGTCTCCCTCTTAGGAGTGCTGATTTTCCTGGGTGGTGAAAAGGCGTTCATCCTACACTACGAGGCCTCGTTCGTTTTACTGATTTTCCACTCTTAGTTCAAATCGTTGAAATGAAAGCGTTTTCAAGCAATGGAAAAGTCAACACCTTTAAACCTTTACATAGAGAGAACTAATTAAAATAATCTTTCTCACAGTCAAGCTCACAGACATCACAGAGCAGTGTGCATTGTGAACATAGCCCTGCTCCTGACTTCATGACTTAGCCTGGGGTGGCTATGACCTACAGCCCTGAAGGGAACAGCAAAGTCTGTTAAAACAGCAGCGACCATCACCTGATTCCTTTTATCACAGTCATGCTGTATCTTCAGTGCCAACTTACTCTAAAACAGGACCACCCCATCATAGTGAACCACACTGAGAAAAGTAGGTAATAGTACCTATCACTTTACACCACGCATTGTTCTCAGCACTTTATTTAAATTAATTCACTTAATCCTTACAATAACCCTATGAGTTAGGTACTAATATTATCCCCAATTAAAGGATGACGCAACTAAGGCACAGAAAGGTTAAGTAACTTAACCAGGGTCCCAGAGCTAGAATTTGAGAGTAGTATCTCTGATTGAGCCATAAATAAGGAGCTATCACTTCTAAGATGCTTAAATAAAAATGAGTACTCGTGGCACTGAATTATCTGTGAAATACAGCAATACTAATCGGCCAAAACAATGTTTCCTACACGTAATTTTAAACGAATTGCTTCTTGTACTAAATTTTATTTCTTATCCGTACAGACTAACCGAGCCCTCCAGTTGCCCATACTAATTTTTAAAATATTTGGCCTTACCTGAAATGCTGCTGCACCCCAAAGCAACTGAAAGGCTTAGAGCTTTGCATGTGATCGGGCACTTTCCAGAGGAAGAGGGAAGTATCCTTGCATCCTGAGGATAAAGGCTTTCCCAGAATAAAAGTCACGTTAAGGACCCTATCTCAGAGGGCATATTCTGGTTTTTAATGACGAATCTCTTCAAACTTTGAAAAAGAGACCATATATCACCCAAGTCCTATGGCCAAAGCCGAATGATAAGAGCAGGAGGCACAATATGACTCTGTGATGTGTGTCCAGTAGTGACACAGCTGGGCCACTGCAGCAACCGCCCCCCTGGTTGGGCTACACTTCCTCTGGGTGTTCCTTTTTCTGCCCTTTCGCTCCAGTTCTACTCCAGTTCCCCTCTCCCCCTTTTAGGAATAAGGCTAAGGACATTCTCAAGTGCCCTACTCATTTTTTTTTTTTTTTTCATTTTAGGAGTAGTAAAGCTAAAAACATTCTCAAATATGTTCCATAATGGCCTTGCTGGGTTGAAGGAAGGGTGTCCACATGTTCAATTGAACATAGGGATGTCAAACTGCTTTGCAAAGTAGTTGTGCCAATGTATGCTGCCACCTGCTGTGTATGACAGTTCCCGTACATCTCCACCCACGCCTTGGAATTGATTTTTTAAATTTAATTTTTGCCATTCGTGTGAAATAATTGTCTCGGTATGGTTTTAATTTTTCATTTCCCTATTGAATTATGAACTTGAGCATCTTTTCATATTTCTAAGGGACAGTTGTGCCTCATCTTCTGAGAAATTTGGGTTCTTTTGACCATTTTTCTATATGCAAAGTATGTATGATTGTGTCTTTAAAAAACTGAATTGTAGGCATTATTTATGTATTCTGGATACTAATCCTTTGTCAACTGTAGGTGTTACAGATATTTCATCTAGTTTGTGCTTTGCCTTTCCACCTGCTTTCTGTCTTTTGATGGACAGAAGTCTTAATATAGGCAGAGTTATTAATCTTTAAGATTTGTTTTTTTATGTCTATTAAAATAATTCCTCCTCTCCTCTCAAGCCAAAAAATATTCTCCTATAACACCTTATTATTATATTTTAGAATTTTGTCCTTCGCATTTAGGTCTTTAATCTGTCTAGAATTGATTTTTGTGTATGATGTAAGTACAATTTTATTTTTTTCCATTAGGATAACCAGCTTTCCTATATATGTATATCCCTTCTTCCCTCAGAGCTACAATGTCAGCACTGTCATAAATCAACATCTGATGAGTGTTGTGTGGGTCTGTTTCTGGGCTATTTGATAATCCCTATACCAACACCACACTGAAATATAAAGTCTGAAAATATCCAGTGTTTTATGAAGTGTGAAGAAGTAGATATTCTTATACTACATTGGTGGGAATATAAATGGTAGCAAACTTTGGGGAGGAAAATTTAGTAGTATCAACCAAATTTTAAACATACATATTCTTTGTCCAGCAGTTCCACTGCTAAAAATATATCCTATGGGAATGCTCATTAAGACATGTACACAAAAACTTATTTGCAGGATTTTAATAGAAAAAAAAGAAAATCTAAATGACCATCAATAGGGAAGTAGTCGTTTAAATTATAGTATATCCATGCAATAGGATGCCTTGCAGACTTTGAAAAGAATGGATTTGAGCTGCAAGTACTGACATAACTTTCAAAAATTATTTTTGGCTGCGTTGGGTCTTTGTTGGTGCGCGTGGGCTTTAGTTGCGGCGAGCGGGGACTACGTTGCGGTGCGCGGGCTTCTCATTGCGGTGGCTTCTCTTGTTGTGGAGCACGGGCTCTAGGCACGCGGGTTTCAGTAGCTGTGGCACACGGGCTCAGTAGTTGTGGCTCGTGGGCTCTAGAGCCCAGGCTCAGTAGTTGTGGTGCACGGGCTTATTTGCTCCGCGGCATGTGGGATCTTCCCGGACCAGGGCTCGAAACCGGGTCCCCTGCATTGGCAGGCGGATTCTTAACCACTGTACCACCAGGGAAGTCCCTGACATAACTTTCTAAAACACACTGAATGACATAAATCAAGGGCAGCATAGCATATAACATGGGGTTCTATGTGTGTAGGATTTTTTAAAACATATGTGCATATATATTTCTTCTAGAACAATACACCCAAGAAACTTTAGTATTCCCCCTTCGGGGGAGAAACCAGGAAAAAGGTGACTTCCTTATATACCTTTCTGTGAGCTTTGAAATTTTATCAAATGTGCTAATGTCACTTAAAATTTTTTTAATGCAAATATAAAGTGATTTGGAAGGGAAAATGGCATTATTTAAGAAAAAAGGTAGGAATATAGGTATTTTAAAATACTGGGAAAAGTCAATGCTTGAATTGCAAAAGAATAAACATTAACCTCTGGAATCTGAGGGCAGTGGTACAACAGAAGTGGTTCTTAAATTATTTTATCGTTGGGAAAAAAGTCCCCCAAATCGACATTGTCAGGTGTTATAGAAAAGGAACTGAAATCTATTCAGCCTTTAGTGTAGCCAAATGCAGTCGAAGCCCATTAAATGCTGAAGGGACTGAAATGATCTTCTAAGCATATGCAGTCCTAAAACACAGGGAAAGCCACTGAGCGGTCTTTCCGCTTACATCAAGGGAAGAAGCTCCAGAGCCTGGAACAGCTCCCCTGGTGACCAGTGAGCCAGTCACACAGGCAGACCAAGTGAAAGGCCCCTTGCCCATCAGATGCCAGAAGCCAGCATGACAGAGGCCTGGGAAAAGGCACTGTGGGATAATCAGAGTACGACTTCGAGTCAAGTTCGGGTGAAGCTTCTTTAGCCCATTTCCCCAGGAAGATCTCCTGTGAGAATTACCTCCAAGTTTTATTTTGAAGAGAGGACATTATGATGGGCCAAGAAGGGAACACTGGGCACGGAAGTTGCAGACAGTGGAGGAGCAGAGTTGATCCAATGAGCAAACTGATGAGGTACTGAGAAGTACTTTGAGCACTGAAGTAATGACGGCACCAGTGTTTCAAGTCCTTTGGATTTTGGATCCACGAAACAAGTCGGGAATCTGCTGTCCTAAGTGGCAGCTTCTGTATCAGTCGCAGAACCCTGGCTTACAGGGTTTGGCCATTCAAAACCAGGTATCTACCGAAGGAGATATGCTTTTCTTCCTCCGTGGGAGAGACTCCAAGGCCAGGGCACAGCAGCGATCTCTCTGTACTTGTAGAGTAACCACAACCCCAACTTGGTACGGGGACAATCTCATTCAAACTCCTAGAACTCCCTCTGTCCTTCCCTGCAGTAAGTATATACCCAGAGTAAAGCACCTGGCAGTGATGGAGGGGGAAAAGGAAGGAGAGACATGCAGAACTGTATTGCCACCTGCAGGCTGTGGTGCAAGGGACACGATCATTTGCTACACAACCCACAGAGAATGGAAGGAACTTGGGCTCAAACTAGGTCTCACACCAGCCAACCATCCACATGGCCCACAGCAGAGGACACATGGCTCCTGCAGAACCTGTGACACAAGGAAAGCCCTCCCACCCAAGCACAAGGCCCAGCACATCCTGCCCTCTCCGGGATTCCTATGGCCAGTAGTCAGCTCCAAGGTCTCCTGTACCATGGAGCGCTCTTTTTGCATCCACGGATGCCGCTTCCCCTCAAACTTACATGGCTTACATGGCATTAGCTTTCCGTCTGATCTTCCCAACTACTAATAAATTCTAAGCCCCTAGTCTTCTATTTCACCATTTCCCTCAGACCTCCTGAGGCTTAACATTTGGCTCTACACTGTATCTGACTGATGGGTTTCCACGGGCCGGTCACAGACATGACGTGGTGTGTGGAAAGTTGCATTATTTTCTTGAAAAATTCAAAGTTAAAAAAAAAGAGAGAAATGGGGGAAGTATTAAGCAGGAAAATAAATCCAGAGTATTTGGGCAGTATTCATGCAACTAAAGAGCAAACAAACGTATATAAAGACACAGAGAAAAGAAATGTTATATATATTATTCAAATCTTTATTTTGAACAGCTTCAATCAAAAATTTTTCATAA